TCTATCTATCTATCTATCTATCTATCTATCTATCTATCTATCTATCTATCTATCTCTGTCTCTATCTGTCTGTCTGTCTCTATGTCTATCTCCTATCATCTATCTATCAACTATCTATCTATCTATCTATCTATCTATCTATCTATCTATCTATCTATCTATCTATCTGCTTATTTATTTGGTTTTTTTTATCCTGCCTTTATTACTACATGTAGCTCAAGATGGCAATCATACATAATGCTCCTTCATTCTCCTATTTTCTCACAACAACCCTGTAAGGTGGGTTAGGCTCAGAGAGAGCAAGCGGCCCAAAGTCACAGAGCTGACTTTCATAACTAAGGTGAAACTAGAACTCAGAGGCTACCAGTGATTGCCTCAAAGTCACCCAGTTGGCTTTTATAACTAAGGCGAAACTAGAACTTACTGTCTCCTGGTGATTGGCCCAAAGTCACCCAGCTGGCTTTCATAGTTAAGGCAGAACTAGAACTCACTGTCTCCTGGTGATTGGCCCAAAGTCACCCAGCTGGCTTTCATGCCCAAGATGAGACTAGAATTCCCAGTCTCCTGGTTTTTAGGCCAGCACCTGAACCACTACACCGAATTGGCTCATTCCCCAGGATTTCTCCAGCGGTAGAAAGCTAGAGGATCTGCAAGACATAATACGAAAACTCAAGATGATAGATACGATGAGGCAATCAAAGCCCCATGCGTTTTTAACATATCATGCATGCAAAAATCAAGATGGAGGCAGCCACAATGCAATTAAAGCTCTGCTCACTTTGATCTCATCATCACAGCCATTTTGATTTTTTTTAAAATTGTATTTTGCAGACATCCCTGCTACAAAGCCACAACCAAAGACATCATAGCCCCAATTATCTCACAGAGTTGTTGTCCTGAGAAAAAGAGGAGAAAGGAGTACTGGTATTAGGTATGTTGGCACTGTTTATAAACAAGAACAGAAGTATCTCAAAGGTGCTGTTTTTCAAAAGACAACTGGACTGTTTTTTGTTTTTGTTTTTTATTTTTATTCAAATAAAAACCGGTCCAGTTGCCTTTTGATAAGTAAAAAAAAGGCAATTTTGCGATGATTATATGACCTGGATTACTGAGAAGAATAAAGGTAGGATAAAAATCAAATGGCACGAGACTGAT